TATCAAATGTTTTTAATACAAGAAAACATGTTCTTTTCTTTTTCTTTGTCCTTTTTAGAATTGTTTTACACAAACTAAAATAGTGCAAGCTTTTCCTTTCATTGGTAGAAACAACAGTAAAAAGCTTCTGTGTCTGGTTTTATATTTTATTAAATGCAGATCCAACATGGGCTGGTATACAGAAATTTATCCCTAAAATGCCTGTTCAAAGATAAGGAATAACTTGATAATAATCATAATGTCACAACACATTTAGTTATCAATATAGAAATTTACAGTGATAGAATGCTTCAAACAGTCTTTTTTCTCTTTTTTTTTTTTTCTTTATTTATGGGTGGTTTTTGTCTGTTTGCTATGAAAAATCTCTGTACCCAGTTTTGGTGTATTGTTTCTAATGTCATTCTACATTTTTTTGTTGCAGCTTGGAATTGAGACTGTCCCTGTCCTTATAGGTCCTGTGTCATACTTGTTGCTATCAAAACCAGCAAAGGGTGTTGAGAAGTCATTTTCTCTTCTTTCCCTGATTGACAAGATTCTTCCAGTTTACAAGTAATAAATGTTTCATGCCATAAGGAATAAATGTTTCGTGCCGTTAGTGAATCTCCAAATTATGTAGCTACAAAAATACCACATATTTTATACTTTCTAATAATTATTGCCTGCTAGGGAAGTTATTGCTGAACTAAAGGCAGCAGGTGCAACCTGGGTTCAGTTTGATGAGCCCACCCTTGTGCTGGATCTGGGATCTCACCAATTGCAAGCATTTACTCATGCGTACTCAGAGCTAGAATCTACTCTATCTGGCTTGCAAGTGCTGGTTGAAACATACTTTGCTGATGTTACTGCTGAAGCATACAAAACGCTAACATCTTTGAATGGTGTCTCTGGATTTGGATTTGATCTGATCCGCGGTACAAAGAGTCTTGACTTGATTAAGGGTGGATTTCCTTCAGGCAAACTCCTGTTTGCTGGAGTGGTTGATGGAAGGAACATTTGGGCTAATGATCTTACATCTTCCCTCCATATCCTGCAGGCTCTTGAGGCCATTGTTGGCAAAGGTATTAAGCCATTACAAATTTCTTTCAAATTGAAATCACTTTAATTCACTACATCTTAAATGATGTATTTGTTCTTGTTTTACTGCAGACAAGGTTGTGGTCTCCACATCATGCTCCCTGCTCCACACTGCAGTTGACCTGGTGAATGAAACTAAGCTGGACAAGGAGCTCAAGTCCTGGCTTGCATTTGCTGCACAGAAAGTGCTTGAAGTAAATGCCTTGGCCAAAGCATTGGTTGGCCAGAAGGATGAGGTACATTTTTCTGATTCTTCTGAAATTCTTAACATTTTGAAATTCCTAAGAGTAAGACATAAAGCTTTGACTCTACAGTCTGTTCCAGCAGGTTAGGCAATCCCTCCACCAATTCCTGTTCTTCACTTTATCAACAATCATCAACAGATGGTGATTTGCTGATATGTAGGAATTTTAGTTAATGCTGGAGTGAATAGTTGTAGCTTAATTGTGTTGGGTCATATCATAACTAGTACTACAATCTGTGATTAGGTCATATCATAGCTAGTAATACAATCAGTGAGATTTGATTCTTCTCTGCTATATCTCTTTTTCTTAAATGGCTTGTGACCTATGGTATGCATGGTAATACAATCAACTGCAGTGTGCTTTAGCATTTGTCTTGCATATTTGCAGGCATTCTTCTCTTCTAATGCTACAGCTCATGCTTCAAGAAAATCCTCCCCTAGGGTGACAAATGAAGCTGTCCAGAAAGCTGTAAGTGATCTTTTGCAAACTTTTCCACGTTCCATCTCTTAAGTGCCTGTGGAGGTTACCTTGTTCTGACCTAGTTTTCTTCTCTCTTTCTTAGGCTGCTGCCTTGAAGGGTTCTGATCACCGCCGTGCCACAAATGTAAGTGCTAGGCTCGATGCTCAGCAGAAGAAGTTGAACCTCCCACTACTTCCTACCACAACCATTGGATCTTTTCCTCAGACCATGGACCTTAGAAGAGTACGCCGTGAATACAAGGCTAAGAAGTAAGATATCTTGCTTTTGAAGAGTGCTTTACTAGTCAATTGCAGAATTACATATTGTAATAAACTGTTTTTGCTTATATTCTTCCAGGATATCTGAGGATGATTACGTCAACTCTATTAAGGAAGAAATTAGCAAGGTTGTCAAGATTCAAGAAGAACTTGATATTGATGTTTTGGTCCATGGAGAGCCAGAGGTGAGTTTTCTTCCTTATCATCCTGGTTCGGTACTTATTTTAGGATGTAATTTGTCATTAATAAGGTGATTATTCTTACTTTCTTTTGTCAATACATTGTCAATGCACAGAGGAATGACATGGTTGAGTACTTTGGCGAGCAACTATCTGGTTTTGCCTTCACAGTGAATGGGTGGGTCCAGTCATATGGTTCCCGCTGTGTCAAACCTCCTATCATTTATGGTGACGTGAGTCGCCCCAAGGCCATGACTGTATTCTGGTCATCAATTGCTCAGAGTATGACTAAGCGACCCATGAAAGGAATGCTTACTGGCCCTGTTACAATCTTGAACTGGTCCTTTGTTAGAAACGATCAGCCAAGGTTTGTCATCAATACTAAATAAGCAACAAAGTTCTTTTATGATGATCTATATTTTTTCAAGATTTTCTAGCAGTTATTTAAGTGAATTTTACCTTCTTTCTCAGGCATGAAACCTGCTATCAGATTGCATTGGCCATTAAGGATGAGGTTGAGGATCTCGAGAAGGCTGGCATTACTGTCATCCAGATTGATGAGGCTGCTTTAAGAGAGGGTTTGCCTCTTAGGAAGTCTGAGCAGGCATTTTATCTGGATTGGGCTGTTCACTCCTTCAGGATTACCAACTGTGGTGTTCAAGACACTACTCAGGTTCTTATCTCTTTACACCCCCCCCCCCTCTCTTTCAATGGCTGTCCCTTGTGCTTCTAAATATTTAGGTTAACGTGTTTCAGATTTACAAATTATAAGGCTAGAATTAGAAATTTCCAAGAGTAGTCAAAGTCTCAAAGATTCTTCAACTGTGGAATTTTAAGCAGGAAAAACGTCTGTGAAAATGGCAGTTTTCCATGACACAACTTAAAGAGTGGTTCTTAGAATTTTCTTCTTTAGAGAGATTTTTTAAGTTGGTATATGCATTTAAGATATGCAGCATTATGGTCCAAAATTTAGTATTGGCATGCAAAGGAGGCTAAAGAGTTTCTGCTTTGAATGTCTTGGACAGATCCACACCCACATGTGCTACTCAAACTTCAACGACATCATTCACTCGATCATAGACATGGATGCAGATGTCATTACCATCGAGAACTCCAGATCAGATGAGAAGCTCCTCTCTGTCTTCCGCGAGGGTGTGAAATATGGTGCGGGTATTGGCCCTGGAGTGTATGACATCCACTCCCCAAGGATCCCATCCACCGAAGAAATCGCTGACCGTATTAACAAGATGCTTGCAGTCCTTGAAAGCAACATCCTTTGGGTGAATCCTGATTGTGGTCTTAAGACTCGCAAGTACTCTGAAGTCAAGCCTGCTTTGAGCAACATGGTTGCTGCTGCCAAGCTCATCCGCACTCAACTGGCAAGTGCTAAGTGAGTTCTGAAATTGCTTATATATTATTCAAGAAGGCCAATCATCTTCCTGTTGTCGAATAATATGTTTGCTTTTTGTTGAAATGAGCTGCTATTTTAGTCTCACTTTCATTTTATATTTTTACCATATAAAATATCTTTCATCTTTATGTGAGTTGTGCTTGATCTTTCTATCTCTAACACATTTTTTGTCACCATTTTCTCCTACCCTTGAATTGATTGAGATCAATGAAGAACGAAAATGGGAGGGGAGAAAATTTGACATTCATTTATACGAGTGATTACATGGGGGAAAGATAATTACGACGATGATGATAGTACATAAGAGTATGGAAGAAAGGATAGATTTAGGTGGAAGCGGCGATGAGCACTGTTTCCTTCAAATTAATTAGAGGATGCAACAATTACGACGAGACTTGTCCTCGCGACGTCCACGTTTCTTCTTTCTAGCTGACTCATCCTTGTTCTTCTTTCTCCGGCTGCAATTCAAACGAATTCGTTTTAGTTGCATCAGTGAATCTGTTTTTTGTCTCTTTAAAAAAGACATGTATATATATTTATATATACAGGAACAAAAATGGGATACAAAAATTAAAGGACAGAGTGAGCCGTGGGCCACATGATACATGTCAGTAATGAATAGTTAGATAATGGGCTTAAACACAGACTCAGAGACCCAGTAAAAGGACATACATATTCTATTCTGTAGCATCTCATCTCAAATCCCAAATCCCAATCTATAAAATTCTCAAGAAGGATGCAATACCAAAACAAAATATTCTCTAAAGGGATTAGATATGGGAATAACTTGCTTTGACCCCAAAGAATAAAGGAAACCTTAACGATTGGCAAAAGGGAGTTCTATCTTTTTATATACCTTTCACATATTATTAAATAAATAAATATATTTAATATTATTAATATCACAAATTTCATATGAATTAAAAAAATTAATCATTTTAACATTATATTATACAAAAAATAAAACAAAAGGTTCTCCCAATAACATTTCCCATTCCCAAATTCCCACCATGGAATTATCAATAATTAAGATAATCTCTGTTTGACCAAGACAATAGGGGAGAATTGGATTCTTATGAACAGAGTAAAAGCAAGAGCCGTCCAATTTCTAGCCATCTTTATTTATTTTGTTTTCAAGATTGATTTTTATAATACCACTCAAAATCTAAGGCATGCTTTTAGCAAATAACATGAAAAAATTTTCTGATATTGGAATAAACAAAAATCTGTGTTCTATTGAAAACGAATTTGTCCTAATTAGAAATAGAAATCTTAGCAAACTTATCTGCCCTGCAACTCCTTTTAGTTTTTATGCTTTTTTGGAGCTTGCTTATGGAAGATGGTGTCCTTACTTGGCCATCATGACTTTGACGAACTCCGCATAGTTAATCTGACTGTCACCATCTACGTCAGCCTCGCGGATCATCTCATCTACTTCCTCATCTGTCAGCTTCTCACCAAGGTTTGTCATCAGCTGGCGAAGCTCATCAGCAGAGATGAAGCCATTCTGGTCCTTGTCAAAAACTCTGAAAGCCTCCTTAAGCTCTTCCTCCATTTTAGTATCCTTCATTTTCCTGGCCAACAGGTTAAGGAACTCTGGGAAGTCAACGGTTCCGCTCATATCTTCATCGGCCTCATTAATCATGTCCTGGAGCTCTGCTTCAGTTGGGTTCTGCTCCAGGGATCTCATCACAGTCCCCAGCTCCTTGGTTGAAATATAACCTAAAGTAATATCAAGAAAATATTAATAATGTCAGCACTCTCCTCTCCAAGTACAAAGTAAAAGACTTTAAGTTGCAAAACAGAGTAAACAAGTCATGAACAGTAGCTAACGAGAACGGCAGATCAACCACACAATTGCATTCACGAAAGAATCAAGGAGAAATCAAACACAACAAGATCTGTGAATTAGAGCAGAGTCAATCGAAAATTTCACGAGACAGAATAAAATAAAAGAAAATAGGTGGAGAAAGAGAAAAGAGACCATTGCCGTCCTTGTCAAAGAGGCTGAAGGCCTCCCTGAATTCGGAGATCTGATCGTCGGTGAAATGCTCGGCCATTTGCCTTTCTTCAGCGATAGAAGGTGGGTGTTTGGAAAAAGAGAAAATCGAGAAGAGAACAAAGATGTCTCTGGAACAAAGATGGGAGAGAGGGTTAAGGGCATATAGCTAGTGGCCCAAAGTTCGTCCAATCAAGCGAGGCATCTGATTCTGTCCCCAACTAACACGCACAGTTTCCTTTTTTCTTCTTTCTCAGTCCCCAACTTACGCTCCTTTTTCTTTTGTTCTTCTTCTTGTTCTGTCCCCAACTTACAATTGTGTTGGGTCATTTCATAACTAGTAATACAGTCAGTGAGATTTGATTCTTCTCTGCTATATGTCTCTGTTTTTTTTTTCAATGGCTTGTGACCTATAACAGTGTGCTTTAGCATTTGTCTTGCATATTTGCTGGCATTCTTTCTAGCTCATGCTTCAAGAAAATCCTCCCCTAAGGTGACAAATTAAGCTGTCCAGAAAGCTGTAAGTGATCTTTTGCAAACTTTTCCACTTCCATTCTTTACTAGTATTCTTCTCTCTTTCTTAGGCTGCTGCCTTGAAGAGTTCTGATCACCGCCGTGCCACAAAGGTAAGTGCTAGGCTCGATGCTCAGCAGAAGAAGTTGAACTTCCCAATACTTCCTACCACCACCATTGGATATCTTTTTCTCAGACCATGGACCTAAGAAGAGTACACCGTGAACACAAGGCTAAGAAGTAAGAAATATTTCTTTTAAAGAGTGCATTTCTAGTCAATTGCAGAATTACATATTGTAATAAACTGGTTTTGCTCATATTCTTGCGGGATATCTGAGAATGATTATGTCAACTCTCTTAAGGAGGAAATTATTGGGTAGCAAAATGACCAAAAAGCCATTCCTAACAGATGAAAAGGAGAAAGAAACAACGGAAGGCAAAATTGGATGAAAAAAACATTGTGAGAGGGGAGGGGAGTCACTGTAGCATCTGTGAGAGAGGGGAGCCTTCCTCCCATTAACTATTTTGATTCTTTTTAGGCTTTCGTTTTTCCTCTCCTGCCCTTGAATTGATTGACATCAATGAAGAACGAAAATGGGAGATGAGAAAAAAAGACATTCATTTATGCAAGTGATTACATGGGAAAAAGATAATTCATTAGAATGATGACAGTACCGAAGAATAGATTTAAGTGCAACCGGCAAATTAAGAGCTCGGTTTCCTTTATTAAATTAATTAGATGATGCTACAACAATCACGATGAGTCTTTTCTCAGCGACGTCAACTTTTCTTCTTTTTACCATTAGCTGACTCATCTTCTGAATTAAGGAACATAGGAGATAAGATAAAAGACAGGACAAACAAGCAGAGGAAGAAAAAGGGACTTCTATTACTGGAAACAAGTATAGATGATTTCAATACATTAAACTGAATAGCAATTGCCTTCATATAATAGGTTGACATAACAAAGACTACTGTTCTTTAGCCACTACAAACTGAAATCTGAAAACAGGGAAACATTGCCAACATTATATTTTAAATTTATCTTTATAAATGTGTTATTATATAAATTAAATAAATATACAAATTTAATGTTTAAGAGACCAATCAAATAGAGAAAAATAATTTTTTTTTTAACATAGGAGAGTACAAGAGAATAAATTTTTTTTTAAGTAATTAGTAAAAATTGAATTCTAGATTAATTAAACTTAAATACAAGAGTTTGGAGACAAACCATCTAATCGAAAGGTTGGTTCAAGAAAAATATGTTTTATGATAAAACAAAAATAATATAAAATAATAAGTTGGGGTATTTTTATAAAGATATACACTCATTCCCGAACAAATTGATAAAAACACAACCTTAAAAAACATTGTTTCTTTTTCTGCTGCTGCCGTCCAAGAGAAATAAGAAAAAAAAGTAACATACTGAGCTATTAGTTTGAATAAAAAAAATTAATTTGTTTAAAGAAAATATTAAATTTAAATATTGTGGATGAAGTTATAAATGCTAGAATAACTTTTTTTCGAATATAATTTAATTTCAGATCGTTAAAATTCAATATAAATTTTGAATAGCGAAAGTGAATAAAAAAAAAAAGCATCATTGACTTCTTCGCGGCTTTTCACCATCCACTTTTCCTCTCACTTCATCATCACCGTTTATTTCACATCCTCGCCCATCATCACGATCTCTGGTCTCTCATCCCTTCTGATTCTGAGTCCAAGATGTGGATTGAAGGGCTAAGACACCCGCGAACCTCTAGGATTGTGTCCTTATCCATTCCCTTCATGCTGTTCCTTGTTCCACATTGGCTCTACCATATTGTTTTTTTTCTTTTTCACATCATTTTGATGCAAACTCAGAATTCATCGGATCAAATCTCGTAGAAAACTTAATTTTTTTGCATTCCGTTCTCAATATATAGGCCTCAATCCTTTGCCATTTACATTATTTTTATTTTTCTTGGGTGAAAATGGCTGAAAAGTTGTACTGGGTGAAAATGGCTGAAAAGTTGTACCGGCCGGTACACCTAACACATCTGGTACAGTACTTTTTGGCCGGTACACCCGGTATTACGTTGGCAATTTTTTCGAACCCCCACTGCGGTGACGGGACAGGAACAGGGGTATTTTCCAGTGAAGTAAATACCTTATTGTACTGGTTAGTATGATCAGTATGTACTGATTTTTTAAGCAGATCGAAATGATATAATATTAATTTTTATTTTGATCAAAATTTAGTGTATTAACCGAAATTTAATGTACTAGTTGGTACACATTATGCTCGAATAAAAAAAAAAAAAGAATTTCCCACCCCAAAACAACGTTCGTTTTGGCTAAGGGCTTTTAATCCTTGCAAATCTGTAATTTCATATCGCAGTATCATACATCGCATAGCCTTGCCATCCTCTGATCCGACCCTCTTCACTGGTGGTGCAGGGCATGCAACTGCTGCTCCTCCTTCCTGTTTTGTGAATCGGGCACCCTAGATCTTGGACTTGGAGATCGATTAGTGGGCTAGGGGCTTGTAATTTCAAATTGAATTTATGCAATTTTTGCAATTTCATATTGCAGTTTTCACCGGTGGTCCAGTCCAATTGCTGCTACTTCTAATGTTTTTAACTTAAAAGCATCCAAAGGATTTTGTTTGAGTTATAATGGAGTTTAAGTTAATGGTTGAAGAAAGAAAGGATTACACCATCTCAAAAGGATTATATTTATAAAAATATATATTTACAGCAATAAATCCGAAACGGTACATGAAAAATGTCGATATTCAGTACATACCGTTTCAGTTGCAAAACCAATACATATGTCAGTACGATATTAACTACTTTGGTATTTCCTCCCTTGAATTTTTGTGAAAAAATTTTCCCCGTCCCACGAGGCTCCACCAATGATTCAATCCTATGAAAAATTAAAAAATATATATATAAATTAATTTTATTTTAAATTTAACCTAATCTAATACATAATAATATATTTTAAGTTTTTAAGTTCAACCCAATCAAAATTAAATTTAACTTAAATTTACTCAACTCAACCTAACCCATATCTAAATCTAATATAATCTAATTAAATTGGATTGATTTTTGTTTATACTTGGAGAATTTATATTTAATTTTATATTTGAAGAATTTTAATTAATAATGCTTGAACTTTTAAAACT